ATAGAATGGCAAACGCTGCAGTGCGAGTTCTCTTCAACTTTTATTTACTATTTATTATTCAGGAAAGTTAAAAGTTTTTAAATTGATTTTTAATGTATTATGAAATCCATATATATATATATATATATATATATATATATTTATATATATATATATGTATATAAATAATAAATCAAAGATATGCCTCGCTACAATCGAGTGAGAAAAAGGGATGCACAATGAGTATGCGAGGTGGCCTGATTTCAGCCGAGCAGTGTGTGTATATATGTGTGTCAACTTCCATCAGTTAAATCTCGCGAGAATCTGTCTTTAAACGCGCGAATCTTGCAACGATATAACGATTTAATCCGCGGCAATAGGACGATAGATCGAAATTCTGTATAAGGAGGCTGTATGTCTCGTTATTGCGTATAATAGAACGACTAATCTCTGTAGAACAGAGACAAAAAAATGTTTCTACTTAGAATTTCTCAGCTAAAGGGTACAATCTGTCAAGCAAATATTTATGGGACGGACAAACAATACAGATAGGTGAAGTACGCGATACGCTTGAGGATGAAAAATGGTATATAAGTAAGTATAAATAAAGCTACGAAACAAAATATGCATAAGCTACATATCATCCTGCGGCTTTCACTGATAATGGTCGCTGCTGGCTCATCGGATTTGTAACTAATAGTATCATGTATATTCTTATAATATGTAACTATATATCAATATATATAGAATTTCCAGAATTACATAGTCATTGTGCATCCTTGAAAAACAGAAACATCATTTTGCATGCAAACAATAGGTACGATTTATCGAACTATGTCAGTATGAGATATTCAAGTATATTAAAATCTCAACACTTAAATGTTTAAGATGCTAAGCATGCACTGAGGGTCCACTGCAAAGCTGCGATATTTATGCTAGCACTTTCAGTCTGTATTTGTAAAGATCGGATAACGCGACAACGGCATGAAATTATCAAGTATATCTTTACTACTCGGTATATCGAGAAAAAAATCAATAAATGGACTGGAGAATAAAATAAAAACGAGTAAATAAAATAAATAAAAATATATAATAATGTTTTTGGCATAAAATTTTTGGCTTTCATAAATTTTTATATGATTCCTTTATATAAGTAGGTGTAGTTAATTAAGATAACACATGCGATATTATATTCAACAAATGGATCTCATGACTCTCAATTGTGATCTCGGGTTATTTTGAACACATATTTCTCTTCTAAATTCATTGTCTCAATGATTTGAGCGTCAATAAGTTTTTAAAGAAATTTTATAGACCAATTTGGTCTCAATTGGGAAATAATTTAATTATTTAATTCAGCCTAATCGTACTGTATGCTTTAGATATTTGATTCAGATAACAAAATACGTGAGCTAACTGTAAAAAATATTCGTATATGGACAGTGGTAATATTACAGTCGTACACGTTATCAGCATGCTATCAAATATCGGTATTTGCTAAATGTAAATCTGATCAATCGTAAAACTCACCGTTTGGAGAACTTCGAGGATAATTTGGAGAAGAAGGACGGCCTTGCTAGAGGGCTAATCGCATTTGTGTCCTGTGTTTGTGTGTGACCCTGGAAACACGATATTTATGTCAGATCAGTTGCGTATCGCTTGTTGAGTTTAAACCCTCCATGTCTCTTTTCACTTCAGTTACGTCACCTCAAAAATACAATTACCTGAGTGTGATTTCGCTGTGCTCTATTTTGGCCAGAATGGAACGTACTGCGACTCGGAACATTCCGTGGAAATGCTGGCGTAGTGGTTGTGGCCAGTCTGTTACTTGCGCATACACCCAAGCTAATAACAAATAATGATTTCAAATAATGATAAGGATTGCAGTCGCGTAATAAATAATACATAGGGTGATTTATCAGCGGATTTGCTTTTACGCACACTACGATGGATCGTGGCGAGTGCACGCTTGAGCGCATACACTACGATATCACCCGGTCGATATAAGTAAAGCTGGCGGTCAAAAGATGCAGAGAGAATAAGTAGATAAAATAAATTGTTGTTTAAGTGCTATTTCTGTGTGGAGGTATCGTTTTAAAAGTCTTCAACGCGCAAGCGATATACATCTCACAAATTAAGCTTAGCACAATAGAGCTAATGAAGCAAAATTGGTGAGAAATTAGTTTATACTGATCAAAAATATGTAGCGAGTTATTCGTTTAGGATGAACGCAATAAATCTCAACCGTTTAATATAACTGTGCATGCATTAAAAACAGATTACTTCAGAGTACGATTGTGCTTTCATGAGAGGTATGCTTTCAAATACTGCATTTCATAATACTAGGAAGAGTATGATTGTGAACGGCGATAAATATAATAATTTTAATATCAAACCTTATAAATAACTGGTTAAAACTATGTTAAATATCTTACTTTCTATTTATACAATATAATAAATTTTCAAAGATAACGGGAAAGAGGTATAAAAGGTAAAAAAGGAAGATATATATATATGTATAGATAAGTGTACCAGACGCCTATTTCGTGTACGAAATCAATGAACAATTTGGAAAAATTGTGTTTCCTTGACAAAATTTAGTTACGATAATATACTGCTCGATATATCATTACAATCTTCTATACATTACAGTTTATTAATTCAGCGAACGGCACAGTAAAGATTGCAAAGTGAATGAATAATGAGCATGTCAAAACTATAATAAATTCTAATGAGTTATGTCGTTTAATGATGCTATAAGCAAACCTGAATGATTCATACACAAATAAAGAAGGATGCTTAAAGCTGATGCATTTTACATTAGTAGAACTCTAGCAAAGTTTAAAACATGCAAATGAAAAAGAGAGAGAAAGAATAATAAATAGAGAAACAGAAAAGAGTGTAAAAAGAAAGAAAACAATGAGAGAATGACCAGAAACCATCCTAGAGAACCTATGTCGACAATTTCTTGAACAGAGTACTCAAAGAGGCCGCACTGTCACTTTCAAGAGCTTTTAAGAGACGACGAGAATCATCTCGTTGTCCGCTCCGACAGTATTTATGAAAGACTAGTGTGATAAGAAACCTAGTTACCCTAAGAGAGTTAGTGGCCCAAGAAAGAAGTAACCAAACGAAAGAACAAATGTATCCGAAAATTATTTAATAAATATGCAGGAACGTATGCGGGTCTTTTTGGTTTTTTTTTGTTTTTTTTGTATTAGGCATTGGGGGCCTGTACCTCTGCCTAAGGGGGTCAGCAGTGGCGAGTAAGGAGTTGTGGGCGTTGCGTGGTTGAGGGTCCAGTAGTGAATGGTCGCTGGGGGGTACGCCACTTGAGGAACGGTGACCTGCACTGATGCTCGCAGACTTCGTGTGACCCCGCAGACTTGGTCTAGTGCCTTCGCCCAGGCTGTGCACAAAACTAATCAGCAAATTGCCGGGCCCTATCTTGCTCGATTTAATTCTACCATTTGGTTTTTTTTTTTTTTAATGTGATAAGATAAGAGTAGGAAATTCCCGAGATTGTATACAGAAGCAGAACGGTGCGAGATTCAAGTTTCATAAATTTGTAGGGGTCGAGAATATTTCGTCACATATTTATGCATCATAAATTAAATTTTTCTGCTTTTATGTCGTTTACTTTTATGTTACATAATATTAAAAAAAAAAATCTAATAAGTTTTCGTATGTCAAAAGATAATTATTGATTTGAATTTTAGATTCGCGCATATACGCGTATATATTAAATTTGTATAAATATTTTGATATTCATTTTTCTTTTGCAATAGAAATTTATCAAAGAGGATTATAAGGATGGAAAGAGGAGAATGAAAACACTAACTGCGGCAGCTAATGTAACTTCGCGGAACACTTGTACGATGAGAGAAACAGAATATGATGCTACAACGTAAGGATGAAAAAAATGTATGATGATGTTAATGAATGTGTCTAAACACCTTCTCGACTAGAATATATATTTGAGACAATAGAGTAACATATGCGAATGTGACTATGGTCTGATATCATTTCAGCAAGCGTCTGTACATGTATAAACGTTAAATTAGACTGTCCGTTCGATGTACATCTGTCAAGCCATAAAGAAAGTGATGTCGCAATGAACGATTGGCAGGCAGCAGCCAACATGCTAGAGCGATGCAACAAACAAATAAACTCCCCGGGGGCTTTTAATGACAGACTTTGTTATTGTTCACTCGATTATCAAATTTGTTTCTCGAGAGTCTTGGTTTAGTGTACTTCAACACGCAGTGAGAGTAATCAGTTGTCTACAGTTAGTGAAAAAGTAAAAGTGTTAAGTCGATAGAAAATCGTAGAAATATCGTCATACGAGATGCATTAATCTTCTTATTGTATGTATATGTATCTCGTTGCACTTTCCAATGAGATACTGGACCATAATCCAACTTACGATTATAGATGGATAACCGCGAGTAAGTTCTGTGATTCGTGTAGAAAATAAAAATCGAATACGTGTCCAATATCCCACGTGTTAAATATCAAGAAGTGTGCGCATATATGTATAGAATATCAGAAAAAAGGTATAATCAAGAATTTCGTAGCACTAAACTTTCTTCCTAATTATATTCAATATTCGAAATTCGTGTGTAAGTAAATCGCGCGTATCTTCGAATAAAAATAATTGAATAACACTATACCTGGTTACTTCGTTGGTTCTTTCAGTAGATGAAGATGATGTTTTCGCTTGATCATAGGAGATGGTACTACGTCGACCAACAGAACCAGGAGCAGGTGAGGTGAGAGGCCGACCACCACCTACTCCTGCGTTCATTGTGTTGCTCTTTCCTACCCTTGCTTTACCGCCAGGACTTGTACCCACGCCTAGAATGAACATCGTCACTGCAAGCCTCATTAGATGTGGTTCAACACAAAACAAAAGCAACATACTTTAAATTATAAACAAAATGTCAAAATAAATTGAAAAGAACGTGAGCCGTCAACGTGTGAAATCCACCTTCATATTAGGAGAGAAATTTTAGAGTAAACACTTAAATGACTGACCACTTTTTGCACATGTCAACACAAAAGATTATAAACTGATTTTAGATACATATGATATGTGGTCAAATTATGACGATATGATTGTACGTTCAACCCTCGCAAAACATAAAAAAACAAGCATGACGAGGATATTAAAATGTAGGACTAGAACCGCTGATAACAGTATCAATAACAATGACAAGATACTTATGAATTTGATGACTTATGAACTTGATGACTCATGAACATTGACTGATAACAAAAATAAACAATAAATCGTAAATTAATTGTAATTTCCGTAAATTAGTTATTCAACTGCTGCAACCTTATCTAAAGCAACCTCATCCAAAGAAGTATCTTTGCTGAAGCATCATAAAGAAGACATAGCATGACAAATAGTCGAATAAGATCTATTGACAAAGAGATTTTCTTCACAAAGTTGAAGAACAAAGTAAACTCACTGGTATCTAATTGCCCGGGTGATTGACTGTTTTTAGCTGCAGAGGGCCGGCTTGCAGAAACACGAGCACTATTTTCCTTGATCGTAGCTGCATCTACGGTATTTTGTCGTTTAAAGTTACTACCACCACTTCCGGTCACAGTTGCGCCAGTTACCGCAGTTGCATGATTGTGATTCGTTGCATTACCTGGGCTAGGTGCGCCTCCTGGTAGGAAAAGAAAATTATGTAACAAAAAATTCTTCATCTTAAGATATGTTAATACTAATAACGCAACATTACGCGCGCTACACGCATTGCAATAAAGAACAAAGTAAAAATATTAAAATGCTAATGCCTATCAAATCTTATAGTATAAAATTCCAGACCTTGAAATAAAATGTATATTTTAACATTCTGGACCATTTCTTTTTTTAACATATGAGATTTCAATGCATCGCGGTAAAGAAAACGAACATTTTAAAGTTCTATATCTACCAAATGTTATCATATTATTTGGCAGAACTTTACTGTGATGCATTGAAATCTTATATTTTCAAGAGAGAAATAATCTAAAATGTTAAAATGTATATTTTATTCACTTTTATGCCTTAGAGAATCTTATATCGTGTTATTTGGTAGGCCTAGACTTTACTGTGATGCATTGAAATCTTATATTGAGAAAATGGTCTAGAATTCTAGACCATTTCTTTGTTTAAAATTTCAATGCATCGTAGTTAAGATACAGCACGTTTATTAAAATACAAATTTAATTTCACAAGTAGTAATTTACACGCTATCAACTAATAATTACTATCTCTTTCTAACACAGGTAATAAACAAAACATGTTGTTGCACAGAACTTTCAATTTCCGATCACAGGGAACACAGGTGTCTTGTCTTACCCAATTTTGGCAAGTATCCTCATCCAAGTTTGTCGCTTGACACTAAAGTTTAGACTGCCGTACTGCATTAAAAGTTACGGTTAAAATGCGGGGATGTAACACTTACGAAGAGTTTCACCACCAGACGAGGCCCGTCTACTGGGTTTTGGATTGCTAGCAGAAATACTTCTGTGAACACCTCTGTGCGATGGACTCTGTACCGCGCCACCTGTCCCCCCGCTGCTCCCTCCGCCACCACCTGAGCCGACTTGAGGTGGAATGTTTCGCAGCGATAATGAACTACCCGATCGTGAACCATCGCTTTCAGGCTGTCGAACAACAAATGGACAATTTGCAACAAATGTACGAGAGAAATAAAACGATTTAGATACTTTAATAGTAATCGTACACTTACGTCTGTCGTTTTCCTGCCTAAGAGCAAGTACGTAGCGAATACATCGTCATATTTTGCTTGTCCTAAGGAATCTTCTATTTCGGTTCGAGTGTATCCCAAATTAGCTAGGGCCTCTGAAATAAAAATGCGTGGAGGCATAGTCATATCCACTAAAGCTAATAGCTCGGACATTTATTAACATCAAAATTAATGAAAAAGATGCAAAAGAATCAAGTTATTTTATAATACTATAGTTATGGTAAATATTATGTGACATTTTTAAATACATTAAGAAAAGCTTGGACTTATCGCTTTTACGTATGTCCTTACTTCGTTGCTCAGAAAACAAGTGACTTGAAAATAAGTTGGTTGGTATATTAGCATTGGTTAATAAAATTGTATTCCTTGATTAAGATATTCTCATGCACTAATTCAAAATTGATCACAAACATCTATATACATACATATAAATATATCAGACCAAACAAGAACTCGAGAAATAAGCTATATGGTGCTTTCGCGTTGTGCGTAGAATGTGCACTTACAAATTTCTCACTTGATACAATTTAGTAACACGTCAGTCCCGAAGACTTTGTATTCAACTTTCTAAGAGAAAGCTGTTACACAGCGCGTATTACTAAATAATATTAAGTAAGGCCGTCTGATATATTTTGGTAATATATTAATATTGATTACGCCACAATTTCTACAAGAACCAGCCATAAACATTCTTTTTAAAAAGATTATGTCGTTCAAATTTATTTTGTCGAAACAATTATGAAGATCTATCACATTATTACTGTAATTCATCATACTCTGTACGTCCATCACAAGAAAAAAAATAAAAAATAAATTTTTGTTATAAAGTTTTGGTATAAGATGTCATAAAATGTTTATAACAGGTGTGACATCAAACATAAAACAGTAAGTAGTAAGTGTTATGTACATACTGGCAGACTCACCTATCCTCTTGTGGTCTCTATAATCAGGTTCAGGTTCTAAGTACGGTTTTAATTCTTCATCTTCATATCCCATATTCATCCATTTATCTTTCATTATATTCTGCAATAATAAGGAACGTTAATTTTTAAACATGATTTACGTAGAGAATATTATTCGCAAATTCGTATTATCTTACAAATTAAAAATGTTCAGAAATGTGATACAATTCGAATGAGATGCTTGCGTACCTCTAGTGAGGCTCTCTTCGTCGGATTGAGCACCAAAAATTTCTTGAGAAGATTTTCACAGTCGGTAGACATATAAAACGGGATCCTATATTTCCCTCTTAATACCCTCTCCCTCAATTCCCTCAACGTCGAACCATCAAAAGGCAGTGAGCCGGATACCAATGTGTACAGGATTACGCCCAACGACCATACGTCCACTTCTGGGCCGTCGTACTTTTTCCCTGTGAAACAAAAATTGATCGCATGCGAATAAAATTCAAAGTTCATGTGAATCTGAATACGTCGCTTCGAGGAAATACCTTGAAAGAGTTCCGGCGCGGCGTAAGGCGGCGAACCGCAAAATGTGTCTAACTTGTTACCAGGCGTGAATTCATTGCTAAAACCGAAATCGGCGATCTTGATATTCATTTCACTATCGAGCAACAGATTCTCGGCTTTTAAGTCTCTGTGAATGATCTTCTTTTGATGGCAGTATTGCACAGCAGACACGATCTGCCTGAACTTCGCCCTCGCCTCCTTCTCCTTCATCCGCCCGTGCAGGACCAGGTAGTCGAAGACCTCGCCGCCGCTGGCATACTCCATTACCAGGTACAGTGTCTTTTCAGTCTCGATTACTTGGAACAGCTTCACTATGTTCGGATGGTCGAGCATCTTCATTATCCTGACTTCTCGGAACAACTGTAAGTGATCAGACATGTCAGACATGAGTCATGTATTCTCAAGTTTGTGAAATGCCTATGTAATTCTGACTTTTTTGTTAAATTATGATAATGCGACATGACTCAAGTAATGACAGACTTTTTCCTATGAAAATATTAGTGTTCGAGATGAGTCACGATTAAGTCTAGTTGAAAACAAGTGGTTTGCATATCATATTCTAATAAACTTGAAGCAGCGGTTCGAGAATGTTGTTGAGAGTTTCTATTTTTATAATTTCAGTCACGCCTCATTTAGCTTTATTACGAAAACAAGTGTAGTTGAAAAAATATATAGCTTCCATAATAGCAGGTGCATTACCTTTTGAAGACTACCGGGATTCAATTGAGTCTTATCGATGATCTTGATGGCTACTTCCTTTCCCGTCGGCACATGCTTAGCAAGCTTCACTTTGGCGAAGTTTCCTTTGCCAATAGTTTTCAGTAATTTGTACTTGCCAATGTGAGGTTCCTCGGAGGTCCGACTCCTTGAAGAGAGCCGGCCTCCGCTACTCGATACCCCTACGCCATCCCCCGTCTGCAAACAAATAAAAATCCTATGTTAGTAAATTGCCAACGATTTCATCGCTGCGTGTAAAAAACAATTTTGCGAAATGTTGCTCTTATAATATCGCAAAACGCTGCGGGTTCTTTCTCTGTTGGACAGATAAGTGCCAACTTTTGCATGTAGAGTAAATAAAAATACATACAATTTCGATTTATACGTAATAATATTAATTGTTTATCCATCAATTAGCTATATAAAAAATATGTTTCTATTTGTATAAAGAATATATCAGAGTTAAGTGCAACTCCAATGCTGTGCAATTTTTAAATACGATGAAAGAAAAGTTTTGGATTTAGATTAACATTTAATTTCTCGCGTCACGCAGTCCTATATTTGTAATCCAAATTTCATAACTTGGAAATGACTTTGAACGTTGTATATGTATCGCGCATACTAATTTCAAGAAACGAGAGAACGCTATGCGAAGTTGTGTCGTAAATAGCCAACTATTTCAGAAGCTTAGGTCGCATCTCCGAGCGCGGCGCTTAAAGTTGCGGAATGGAGCATGAGAAATACGGGGCAAGCGCTCGTTAAAAGCTCAGCGTACATTCCTCGAGAATACCACATCGCGTATAAATCGCGAATTTTTCTTCCCCCTCCTCACGCAAAATCGTATTTATCCACGCGTACGGAACGCGCTCGCATACGCGAGTCGCACTTGACACTTCCAGGCACGGTGGCCATTGTCAATGGAATTAATTAAACCTCGTTAAAGTACACCAGATACGGATTGTTTTGAATGAAACGTAGCGGACTCTTTCGCATTAATTACAAGGACAATTGCTACGTTACATCAACATCGTCCAAACAATATTTCTCTCTTTTGCTCGTTTCCATTGTCGTTTCCTAATAAAAAAAAAAGAAGAAAACAGTGAAGTCGATGTGATAGGAATATTCACGAAGCCGGGACATTTGAATACATCATACTCGAGAAAACGGCTTTGAATTGCAAGAAACACCAGGGATTTGAAATATGTAAAAATTATTCAACTTTACCGCACCAGTTTGTAAAAAGTATTAATTACTTATTAACGCGCAAGCGGCGCTAAGAGCCGCGCGAGGGAAGAAAATAAGGAGCAATTAGGCGGAGCTTTTGGCAATTAATTTTGCAGGATCGCATTACCCGCAGGAGGCCACGCGTGACCATCTTGCGCGCGTTGGTGGTGGCCGCAACCTTGGAGGCCGCCAGCTTGACTAGTTTCTTCGAACCTTCGGTAAAAGAATCGATGCGATCCGAACCAGCTAGCAGGTTGATTAATCTGTTTACCTCGTCCGATAACACGCGAGAATTGCAAAGAATATATGTGGAAAAGTTCAATAGCGATGGCACATAGATCCTGCGAATCACTCGATCGCCGCTTGGTAACCGTGATTTACGATCTCTGCCGTTCCCTTATCACTCGATCGCCGTGTCAGCGACTTTGTTCCACGTGTCGACGGTGATCACGAGTCACGGCTATTTTTGCCCGATATATTTTTATTCGTATCGAAAGAATTAATCCTCCGATGACGCAACTGATTTTTCATCAATCGAACTTCGCGATTCTCGTGGCCGATCGTTTTGAAAGGTCGACCGATGAGTCAACTCGCGGAGCGTGTCACCGCGCTCCGTCATTTTACAGGGATATACACGGTGTTGTGTGAACACCGCTGTGCACTTTGGCGACCAACCGATCGCGCCGTCTTGTCGCCAAGGCAATACTTGGATTTTTTTTCCAGCAGGAGTAAGCGACCGTAAATGCACAGAACCGAGATCTAAAGGGACACTCGAAGCACTTCCTTCAGTCGAATTTAAATAATATTTAGATTACATTTCTCGATCGATACATGTTCTACTACTATTGTTTATAAAATACGTGGTGTAACTCTGCAAACATCGCTGCCCGATAAATTTCATTTAGGCACTCTTTGTACTAGTATTGACTATTGAACTCTGCAAATCGATTCCTCGAAGACGACGTGTGTTTGTACTGGAATACTAGTAGCTCATTCCATTCGTCGTACTTATGACTTTTTCAAAACTTCGCTTTCTAGCGCATTACTTCAAGCATTCCGCGAAAAAAAAGTGGTACAGTAGCTTTCACTCTTACGAATCCGTTTCAATCGGATCAAAGTAATTTAGATAGTGTAGAGATGTACGACGATTCCGTGCAATATTCATCAGTTCGCTCGAGATTCGGCGATAATTCGAGAATATTTCTACGAAGGCGTGTCACATGTATCCATGCTATCCTTCGACCAAGTCACTGACCACACTGATCGCTACCTCACCGACCTCAGGTCAACGATAGCGAGACGAAACGTCAGCGGCACGATCCCTCATCGGTCTGTATCTGACATCGATCCATCACTGACAACAGTCCTCTGTCAATTCGTCGAAACACAGTCGATTAGCGATGCACGTTTATCAGAAGGCGAGACCTTTCGTGAAGAGACCTTATCGAGGCTGTAGAACCCGATAGGTCACCGACAAGTGTTTTAATATTAACCCACGACGAGCTCGCGGCGACGTCCACTTCCGCCGAGGGTCTTCGCCGAGGCGTGTCAAGGGCAGAAGCAATGTCACTGTACGCGGGCCTGTCTCGCTCGTGTGTCGTAGCCGCCGTCGAACACCACCGCCTCATCGTCCGCGGCGAGAACGACGTGAGGAGAGAGAAACAACGATCGGGAAAAACGCGGAGCGGTTTGGTTGCTCTGGTCGTCGTCGACGTCGACGACGACCGTGCGCGACTGCCTGCACCCCCCTTTTCACCCTCGAAACGAGCCACTCTCGAAGGAGAGACCACACGGACGAGGGATGCGACGGCAGAATCAATACGCGGTGGTGCCGCCACCCCCTGGTGGAAACGTGCGGGCGAACCACCCTTGAATGTCTGGCCTCACTGTCCACCCTCTCAGCCGCCCCCTTCTCGACAGAGTGACGCATGCGCCGTAGAAAGTGGGAACACACCAACACACACGCTTCCCGTCCCTTTCGACCGAGCGTACTGCCGTGCGGCCGAGATAACAGAGAGTCTCGGGCTGGTCAGCTGATCGGACCGGATGTTGAAGAGAAGTTCTGTCGCTGACGCGTCTCGCGGAAAAATGACATTTTTAATGCACACTGTTAAAGATATACTTTTTTTTCCTTACAATTATCGCAGCTATGGAAGAGAGAGATATTTATATAATTATTATCAATCTTATCAGTTTGGAATAAAAATAATTATTTTACGGTTAAAGGAAGAAATGAAAAAATGTAGTTTTGCTATCTACGAGCAGAGAGTAGCCGTTCTAATTTCAAGATATCGATATAAACATCCTGATGACGTACGTGTCGTCTGTGGGACGGAAAGGGTGGGAAGCTGCATCTTCACCTTTATCGCACTTCTGCTTAGTGGATGAGCTTTCGCTTGGTCAGCTGACGGAAGTAACTATTAATGAATATCGAGATTATTATCGTGTCCACATATGAGACTGATAGACACGTTGAACCGACTAGTCAAATATAATATAATACTGGAGCATATCGAGCCGTCATGGATGCGAAAATTTTATTATTTTTTAATAGAAACTTTTATTCGTCGACATTGAGATGTTAAATTAGACGAACGTGTTAATGTGGACGAATAAGTTTCTATTAAAAGAATAATATAATTTTCAACATCCGCGACGGCTCGATATGCTCCAGTATTATATTTCATTATTATCTTACGAGCCTTTCCCTTTCATCGCCGACTAAAATTATATTAAAGCTTTTTGATACAAAAATTAATTTCAATACAGAACCAAATTAAAAAAAAATATTCTTTACTTTGTGTATATAAATACAACAGCGAGAAATATATCAAAAAAACAAATCTTTAAAACATTATCATTTAAAATTTTGATGACCTCGAAGAGATTTAAAATTACGCGTAATAGATAATGAGTCAAATTGGAGCGATACCAATCTCATGGCAATGAGAGAAAAGTTGCTCGATACACTTCAGAGGCGAAGCTACATCGTTGTATTTTCGTGCTCGAGAGAGCACTGATTTCTTTTCTCGTCGGATACTTGGGCGGGATTTGCAAGAGTGACTGAAGATCGAAGTTTCTGAAAGGAGCAACAACAGGAGAGCGAATTTCATCAGCTGATCAATCGGCCGAGAAAGTAACGACAAGAGAAGGACGTCCACTCTACGTGAAAGGGAGATAAGAATAGATCCAAGTTGACGTGAATTCCCCGCAGAAAAAAGAATTGCGTACACGTGAGCTCCAGCGGATAAATCTCACGGAGTTACGTGTAAACGTCGTATTAAATAAAAGAGTCAGACAGCGTTTCCTCCAGCGGATGCGCATTGTTGTTCGCTTTTACGCGACAGTCCACAATGCATCCGGATCCAATAGATTAATAACATATTTATGTGTCTCATTAAATATTAAATTATGAATGTACTGCATCGTATCGCAAATAAAGCCTAGTTTTGCAAAGAATTCTTTTTACCGCTTTATCGAACATAGTAACAAAAATGTATAAAGCACAGAGTCATCATGAGTTAATGTATTTTGGATAAATTAATTATCCTTTATTATTAAATTTTTCGTTTTCTGTTAATCTAATATATATGTTTTTTGTATAATCTGCTTTGTGCGGAAAATATCTGCTTTAAAACAATTCGAGATAATATTTATGATATTAAAATTAATTAACAATTTCCTTGAAACTCGCGGAATATTTGTACGAAAATGTTGATGCAGGATATTCTGCAGAGATTATGATTTATACGTCTCCATGAAAAGCGGGAAAAACGGGAAATAGTAAGGTGCGCGAAGTTAAACAAAGCTCTTCCGTTTCGCAGAATGTACATAAAATTTTATGTTTTATGCCGCGACACTGATACGGATGTAAAGTCGCATCGCAGATGCGATATCACTAGTTTATCGACCTCATATATGACAATGTTAAAGGATTATATTTTCTGTCACTTTATTATTGCCGTAAATGCAAAAGAGTCTGTTGATAAAATAATCTTTTTCACAATCCTCTTAAATTTACTTGCATAAATTTTTATATTTACACGAGTTTATTCCTTTTGTTAATAAATAAATAAGCAAAAATTAATTATTTCTCAGGAATGAGTTTCGCTGAATCTTTCGAAATATCTCAAGTATTTTCTGCGATTATCGGCTTCGACAGATTATACGATCGTTACAATATCCGAATGACGAAACCGAGGGAAAGTCATCCGGATTATTTCAGGCCAAACGGATGAGCCACAGACTCCACTGATGACGAGTCATACGAATGACGTAAGCGAGGTGCATTTACGGTGCCACTTATTGCAGTCAGTTTGTTAGGAAGAATACCGCGTTGATATACAGGGACGATCATGAAATTCGACCGAGTTGCAGATCGTTTTTAACATTTTCCCATTCAATCGTGCGTGATTGCGATATTATCAAAATTTTCCAATATTTAATTATCTTGTCTTGCGACTCGCAACTATTCCTTAATTACTTTTGATATCATTGTATTAAATTATAATTATTTTTAATTATATTTGCATCGTATTGTACATTTTTATTATTATATGATAAAGCAATGACGCGATTTTTCTCCTCAAGTTAAATAAAAATTGTTTTATCGACAAGACGGTCGTCGATAGTGTCTGATAAGATGACGCGCGGATGATAACGCGGCGATGGTATCTATACTTATTGTATATCTACCTCCTTCTCGCTCTGAATACCCTTCTGCATGATGTCTGACAACGGTCTGAGCGGGATGGTGACCGAGTTACTCTGCTGTTGCTGTTGCTGATGACGCTGATGATCCTTCTTCGTAACTATCGGCCGTACGAGCGCGCGAGTTTGCGGCATCCTGGACTGCGCCCTCATCTCCGCTTCCTGTCCGCGCCGCGTGTCCGAGGCGGTCCTGGACAACTTAACGGTGGGCTTCTTTGGCGCGATGCCGGCGTTTCCGGTGGAATTCCGCGTCGCATCTCCGCGGTGTAACGGCGAGGCCCTTTTTGTTGCGAGGCGTTTCATATTATGTCTCATTCGTCTTTTTGTTCGATGTTTGCGCGGATTGTGTATTACGAGTGCAATGATCTTATAATGAATGAATATATGTGTTTCTCTAATACAAGTGTCATGTAAGTGTTGTAAGCGATAACATTTGATAATTCAAAAATTGTGAACGGAAATCGTTTTAGGCAGCAAAGAAAAAATGTTTAAGTCGGCAAAAATACGATTCTACGTCTTTTTGATTTCCAATTTCCGAGTATTTCAGACTTTAATTAAAATATATGATAGTATTTAAAATTTTAATTAAAATATAGAGATAAAGTCCACTCGAAATCAACTGGAGAATAATATTTTGTTATCTGTTTACACGCCGATATAAAACGTGAGGTCACTTTACGTTTCGCAATTTGAAAACTATTATCTCGATATTTTTGATACAAAACAGATAGATCGCGAGTTATTGGCAAAAAATAATGTATGCCAGCTATGCAGTGACACCCGGTGTGTTTAGCCATCGAGACATTCATCACTACCACACGCTCCCCCCCTCCCCCTCCCCCTTCCGATCTCTGCCGGCTGGGCGTATAATGAATGGCCGACGAACCGACGGGAAATCACGGAATGAATCGCGACGCGGTTACGACATTGCGTAAACTAAATGCCAATTGTATCAAAGAAAGGGACACGCGTGGGCGTTAGCGGACGGTCAATTGTGCGGATCGCGAGTGTGTAGGTAAGCGGTGACGCGACGAGGTGGATTAGGCGGAGGTTGGACAGCGATTTCCTCAATTATCGCTAAGGCTGTCGTCGCTCTATAAATGTGGCGACGAGTCGTGTGCCTACGTGTACGCGCAAACGTGTGTAAACGCGTTCTCGGGATATTGACCGAACGAAACGCTCCAACTTGTTGATGACGATTATCGAGAAACGCGTAGGCGAACGATATTAAATTTCGCAATGCGAACAATCTTTCAACTTTGTATCGGGATAAAGTTAAACTGTTTCTGTCAAACTTCTATTGTTTCTTCTTAAGAAAGATAACTCTCGAAAAAAAAAAAAAAAAAAATCCCCAGATATTTAATTTCGTAAACTTTTCTAAGAAACAATCTCGAACGTGCCAAGACCGAAATGCGCGGAAAGTGTCTTATCACCCGATAAAGCGCGAGGAAAAGAAAATCCAAGACGAGACGTGTGGGTGAGATGTGTCTGACGCGAAAGAGGGATCAACGACGAGATGTGAGAGAGCGCGTGGCTGATTAATGTAGACAGAGTTTATGTATTTTACCCCTCGGCCTCGTCGTCAGTCACGTTCCGCAGCAGGTCCTCGTGTTCTCGATACCGTAGCTGGACCTCCGGCCCGAAATCCAAACTGTTCTCGAGCTGGCGCGTCGTCCTCGCCGCGATAGTGCCCATCTCGATGGCCTTGACCTGCTGCTCCAATCGCTGCAGCATGTCGGTGCTTTCGACCGACGTCGCGCCCGCCGTCGCTCGCTGCTGCTTCAGAATCAGATCGAGACTGAGCGGCGCTTTGACGGCGGGTTCCGGATGTGACGTGACGGGTGATTGCTGCGCGAGCGGAAGTCCGATCGGCTGGACGATCTTCGACTCGGTGAAGGCCCGCAGTTTCTCCTCCAGGCTCGCGTTCATGTTCGTCTCGCCGTAGAGTCTTCTTCTGGACACGGGAGTGCGTCCGTACAACGGACTCGCGGCGGACATCGCTTCCTTGGATCTGACCGGACTCGGAGCGCCGCCGGCGCGCTTCTCGACCACTTGCAGGCCCTTGCCGTCCTCCACCAGCTCCCACTGCTTCAGGCTCTCCAAGGGCGTGTGCGGCGCCGACAGCCGCTTCGACATGCCGGTCGGGCTCGTCGTTTCCGACTCACTGCCGGCGAACTGTCGATTTATCAGCTGATGCGCCGCCCTTTCCGCGGGCGACGGCGTCAGGAACTTTCGCACCGCCTGCGGCCGGATCAGACTCCTGCTGGCCTGCGTTCGCACGAACGGGCTCTCTCGATCGTCCATGATCGGCGAACTTGCGGGGACGAGTTTCGCGCGGAACGAGCACCGGTTGCCGCTCGTCGAGTTGTCGGTCTTTGATCTCGTCGCGCGACGATCGTTCGCAGATAACGTATCGCCGATAAGTCCTCAACATCGATTCAACGGCCAAACCGGTCGACGACGTTGCTCGGGAGATTTAATTTCTGTTGGGAAGAAGACGCGTGTGTTTGTTTTTCGTTTTGTCTTTTTCAGAAAGCTTCGAGTACCGCGACGATGATTTTTCAACACAGAAGCCGGAATCCGAAAACAAGTCACGATTCTCATTTTCTTTTCCTACACGCCTCCTCCCGATTTACAATCACATGTATCGATAAGCGGAACAAGCGACACGTGTATAGGCTTTTTTTTTGTAGACGAGAAAATAAAGCTAAAGTGGAACGACGATGGCACTTCACCGGCTCGTCCTGCAATCGTAATGTATAGGCAATAAAGCAGACAGATACACAAGGCAGGCTCGCAATCTCGTGGATTACCGCGGTTTAGCGCGACTACACTGGGAATGGCTGAGTAAAGCTCGGAGAATTGTAAACGTGTACCTGTCTGCGTGTCTGTGACTCAGATATCAATTGCATAATGGTGTCCTAACAGAACAAAATTGTCGTTGAATCAGATGCGTCAGCAACGTCGGGAAACTTTCACACGACATTTCGTACAAAAAGTATAGACATCAACGAATTATTTAATAGTCTCTGTCACGCTAAGATGACTTTCAATAGTGAACAAAATAATTCTATGCAAAAAGTAATGTGCAATTTTCGTTTAATCTGTATGCATTCCATATTAAATCGCATTTTAAATTGTTGAGTCAAGCAGAATGCCGATAAACGCAGTTGGAAAGATTCAAAATTGATTTACGAAATATTTTAAATCCACGAGGGAAAAATACGCTCCGTGAGTGTCGTAAGATATGGATTCACTATTTTTATCGAACGAGACAATCCAGGGCACTTCGAGATATGGAGAAAGAGCTCGTCGCACGCCAATTCAGAGAGATCTAACGAGCAATTAATAATTGAACATTTAATTCCATATGTGCGGCTCTAAGACGACGATAAGAACGCGTGTATTTATGAGCACATATATGTGTCTGTAAATTCCGCCTTAATCCGATTTAACCCGGCAGCAATAAAGTAAAAATATTCCACGAGCGCCAATTCAGAGAGATCTAACGAGCAATTAATAATTGAACATTAATTTAATAAAAATTTTATATTAAAACATTTTATATATATTCATGTTACATTAATAAATCAATTTTAATTATTCTATGCAAGTGAATATTTTGTTTAATTATTAGAGCGATGCAATTATTATTACATATTTCGTAAAATATAGGATTATACATTTAAGCGACTAAAAATTCAAGCGACTATTTAAATATTAAATCTCTTTGCCACAGTTTCGCATTTATCTCGAATAAAAAATAATTGACGGAATGGATAAATATGAACGAAATATCGACACGCGGTGAATTTTTATGCTCTATGCGCGGCTTTTCTGTTCGTTGGGTTGAAACAGCCCAGCGGAAATTTGCTCCGAGATCGAATCGAGAGACGAAGTTCAGAAAGAGGTAAACTAACTCCCCCGACCGTAATGAACTTGGGAGGGTGTCGGAAAACCGTTTTGCCAATAGGAAATTGAACGGGCTACTTCGAACGTAGCGCCGACGAAAAGCTCACGGCGATTTGAAAGACTCGATAGTCGGCGATGAACCGTTACGTTAATAACACTATCCGCGGTGCTAATTGACACTCCAGACGATCGATCGTCACGCGATCGCAAAGTGATCGGATGTAATAATCGTGTAGAAGCTACGAGTTATATTGAATCAAACGAGTTCTTCATATCAATTATTTTTTTATGACAATATGATTTAAAATTCTGATTTATAATTATAGCTTATAATTTGTAAATTACCATTCACAATTATCTTATTCCAAATGCAAATTCCAAATAAAAATGCGACTCACATAATTCCTTTACAAATTCTGTACTGTACGGTTGATTGAAAGATAAAAAAAGGGTGAGATAACAACTTTTTTTTTGATCGCAGATATACCTGAAGATATACATGTTTGATTGAAAAGAAAACATTGAGTTGAACAAAAACGAAGATTGCGCACGATAGATTTACAATGTTCGATAAATCCACTATCGAGGGTGGAAACTGATTGATCAATTAACGTTGATCGGCTGAAATTTCCGATCATTCATCAAAGTGGTATATATGATCAATTCGTCGAAAGATGTCGAAGAGAACTTGTCGAACGTTCGACAAGCACCGCCGGCGCTGTTATTCAACCGGGCGATAAAGCCGTAAATCGCGAAATGGACGGAATAGAACGCGGATAGTAAAGAGATTTATAGATCGACGTGTTATATGGGGTGTCTCGAATTTCCTGCAATTTCGTTTCCATCTACGGGCCTTTTAGAGTCTGCCTTCTTTGTAATCTTTTAATAAATAACTTTAACTCTCTTCGTAAGTATCGATCTTTAAAGTTCTGGTAATCAATTGGATTCAATTAAAATTAAACAAAGAAAAAAAGTTCATTGTTTATCGATACTTCCAAAGTTTAATTCCTAAAAAGTTTTTAATCGTTTATTCCTGAAGAAATGTTAGCATCTAATATTTAAAACAATTTTTTTGAGATAAATGTTGTTTTATGACCCCTGTCGAGCTGGCCCTCCACTTTGCACAAATAAAAAAACCAATAGCGCAAAATTATAAGCTATTTATGAGCTTTCATATTCCGCAAATTAAAATTTTTGAACTCGTCACGCTGAGCATGAATTTAATGTTTTTCGTGTATATATGATATATATAAAATTTTTTTTAATTTATAGTATTTGCAAGATAAAAAAATACATATTTTGGAAGCTCATAAATCGATAAACGATATTTAGTCATGAAATAGTTAATTTCTTTAATTTTAAGTTCTCTCTTTTTTTTTTTTTTTGTGTGTGTGTGCCGGGAGATGCGGAATGATTTCTTTATAAAGGGGCTGCAATTCAATAATGGAAATGCACGTATTTTGTGAGCACATAAATAGATAAACGATATTTAGTTGGAAAATAATTAATTTTTTTCATTTTAAGTATAGTTTTCTCTTGTGTCGGGAAAATGAAAGGTGGTTTTTTTCTAAAGAGGTTGCAACTCAATAATCAAAATGCGCATATTT